ATCATAAAACAGTGTCTCAGCCATCAGGCAGTGAATTCATAACCATTTCATGTAGTAACTTTCTGTGAGGGAGCTTTTAGAGGTGGACGTCTGGTTCCTATCACCACCACTGTGAACAGTTCTGACTCGGCAAGTTTCTCTAAAACAGAGCGTTTCACACCAAACCACGAACGACTCTGAACGACTCTGTTTACATCTTAAACACTTAGTTACGCAAAAATTTAGAAAGATCTACGAAGCCCTGCTGCCGACGTGTCGTATAACTAGAAGTTGTATGTTAAAAATAGTATTAACGCGTGGGGACGAGATCCTAATGCGCGGCCACGGTTTAGTAAGGCGTGGGAATGAGATCATGCGTTATTAAGCTGTGGTTAAGGCTTAATTATCTCATTCCCACGCCATACTAAGTCGTGGCCACACATTATTGTGATTTATGTGGGATGTCACCAGCAGGGCTCCTTAAAAATCAGAGGATGTATCTTCTAAAAATGCAACACTAAAGCAAGTGTGCAGTGATTCAGCATCATGCTAATTGATACGGTCATTACTTTCATTAGCTCCAACGCTAAGCTAATGAAGCGACCGTCAGACACCACTGACTGGCTGTGCTTGTTTAAAGCAGGATGTGTAAATTGGCTGTTTTGCTGAACTGAGTTGAGCTCAGAGGGTGACGCTGTTTGTTTTTCTTGCCCTGATGAGGATGTGGAGTAACAGCGTCTCTGGGTGCGGCTGTCGGAAAACAGGGGGCGTTTGATGTCGTCAGTATCGTTGTTTTGTTTTGGGTGATCTGCTGCGCCTTTCAAGATTGTAGATGATATCAGACACTCCGGGCCTGAGAGCTGTTCGGCCGGTTTAACTATAGCAATGTCTGGAACGAGGAACGAAGTGACTCGCGCTGGGCGAGTTGACTGATAAGGTGCTCCTCTGAAGTTACTTCAAAAGATCTGGATGAAAGAAAGACTTCAAAACAAGGTGGCGGTCCAGTTTAACCCCTAGATGTTGTGGCTATCTGACACAGAGGGATGCAGCGAGGTCATTAATACCAACCTTAATTCATCAGTTTTGTTTATGAAAAGAAGAAAATCAATAAAAAAAATGTGTTTAAAAAATGTGTGGTTATCACGGATCCTAACGAAAGCAAGCTGTAATTATTTGAATTGTAGCACATTTTAGTGGTGACATCGGTTAGCATTACTGCTACTGAGTGCTGATTGTTAGCATTACTACTACTGAGTACTGATTGTTAGCATTACTACTACTGAGTGCTGATTGTTAGCATTACTACTACTGAGTACTGATTGTTAGCATTACTACTACTGAGTACTGATTGGTTAGCAGTACTGCTACTGAGTACTGATTGGTTAGCATTACTACTACTGAGTACTGATTGGTTAGCATTACTGCTACTGAGTACTGATTGGTTAGCATTACTACTACTGAGTACTGATTGGTTAGCATTACTGCTACTGAGTACTGATTGGTTAGCATTACTACTACTGAGTACTGATTGGTTAGCATTACTGCTACTGAGTACTGATTGGTTAGCATTACTACTACTGAGTACTGATTGGTTAGCATTACTGCTACTGAGCGCTGATTGGTTAGCATTACTACTACTGAGTACTGATTGTTAGCATTACTACTACTGAGTACTGATTGGTTAGCATTACTACTACTGAGTACTGATTGGTTAGCATTACTGCTACTGAGTGCTGATTGGTTAGCATTACTACTACTGAGTGCTGATTGTTAGCATTACTACTACTGAGTGCTGATTGTTAGCATTACTACTACTGAGTACTGATTGTTAGCATTACTGCTACTGAGCGCTGATTGGTTAGCATTACTGCTACTGAGTACTGATTGGTTAGCATTACTACTACTGAGTACTGATTGGTTAGCATTACTGCTACTGAGCGCTGATTGTTAGCATTACTGCTACTGAGTGCTGATCGGTTAGCATTACTACTACTGAGTACTGATTGGTTAGCATTACTGCTGCTGAGTACTGATTGGTTAGCATTACTACTACTGAGTACTGATTGGTTAGCATTACTACTACTGAGTACTGATTGGTTAGCATTACTGCTACTGAGTACTGATTGGTTAGCATTACTACTACTGAGTACTGATTGGTTAGCATTACTGCTACTGAGTACTGATTGGTTAGCATTACTACTACTGAGTACTGATTGGTTAGCATTACTACTACTGAGCACTGATTGGTTAGCATTACTACTACTGAGTACTGATTGGTTAGCATTACTACTACTGAGTACTGATTGGTTAGCATTACTGCTACTGAGCACTGATTGGTTAGCATTTTTGGTGTCATGAAAACCAGCAACATATATATATATATATATATAGCTGTTTTTACAGCTGAGTTTCCGTATATGGACTGTATGAACTGGGGGTGAACCGTTCATATTTAAACTTTAACACTGTTTATATTCTATATGAAATTTAAAAAAAAGCAAGGAAATTTTGATTTTCTCCGGCATGGGCCCTTTCAATTACCTTTCCGGTCTACTTTTTAGAGTGTGTCTTGGTAGGGTCTCTTTTGTCCTCTTTTGTAATATGGACTGTGTGTGAATTACGTTATAATAACAATAGTAATAAGAACAGTGTTTTTGCAGCTGTAATGAATGACAGTCTCTGTGGTGTCTGAAAGTCTGTTCTGGGTGGTGACCAAGATAGATGGGTGTGTCTCATCAGACACACACACACACACACACACACACACCCACACACACACACACACACACACACACACACACACACTCCCAGACATCCCAATCAAGTGACACACACTCTCAGGTGTGGATGTTCGGTCTGGAAGGATTCACTGGTACCGACGAAATAGCTAAAGTACAGGTCTGTGTTAATCTAATATCTCTCTCTCTCTCTCGTCTCCTTTTCTTCCTCTCTCTCTCTCTCTCTGTCTCTCTTTCTCCCTCTCTCTTCCCTCTTTCTCTCTCTTTCTCCCTCTCTCTTCCCTCTTTTTCTCTCTCTCTCACATTCTCTCTCTCCCCTCTCTCTCTTTCCTCTTTCACTCTCTCTTCCCTCTTTCTCTCTCTTTCTCCTCTCTCTTCCCTCTTTTTCTTTCTCTCTCACATTCTCTCTCTCTTCTCTCTCTCTTTCCTCTTTCTCTCTCTCTTCCCTCTTTCTCTCTCTTTCTCCCTCTCTCTTCCCTCTTTCTCTCTCTTTCTCCCTCTCTCTTCCCTCTTTTTCTCTCTCTCTCACATTCTCTCTCTCCCCTCTCTCTCTTTCCTCTTTCACTCTCTCTTCCCTCTTTCTCTCTCTTTCTCCCTCTCTCTTCCCTCTTTTTCTTTCTCTCTCACATTCTCTCTCTCTTCTCTCTCTCTTTCCTCTTTCTCTCTCTCTTCCCTCTTTCTCTCTCTTTCTCCCTCTCTCTTCCCTCTTTTTCTCTCTCTTTCTCACATTCTCTCTCTCTCCCCTTTCTCTCTTTCCCCTTTCTCTCTCTTTCCTCTTTCTCTCTCTCTTCCCTCTTTCTCTCTCTCTTTCTCTCCTTCTCTCTCTCCTTCCTCACTCTCTTGTTACCCCTCCTCTCTCCCTGTCTTCTCCAATTTCTCTCCTCCTTTCTTTTTCCTCTCTCTTCCTCTCTTCTTCTCTTTTTCACTCTCTTTCTACTTCTCTTCTTCTCACTGACTCTCTTTCTCTTTCCTCTTGCTTTCTTGTGCTCTCTCACCTCTCCCCACCCCCCGAGTGGAGTTCAGTGTATAGTAAGCTGTAAGGCTGTGCTGAGTGAGTGAGGTGGTCCGATACAGAGGAGGGTCTTAATGAGGAGGTGCTCAGTGTATATCTGAGTGTGTATCTGAGTGTGTATCTGAGTGTGTGTATCTCAGTGTGTGTATCTGAGTGTGTGTATGTCAGTGTGTGTATCTCAGTGTGTGTCTATCAGTGTATCTGAGTGTGTGTATTTCTCAGTGTGTATCTCAGTGTGTGTATTTCTCAGTGCGTATCTCAGTGTGTGTATCTTAGTGTGTGTATCTCAGTGTGTGTATCTGAGTGTGTATCTGAGTGTGTGTATCTCAGTGTGTGTATCTGAGTGTGTATCTGAGTGTGTGTATCTCAGTGTGTGTATCTGAGTGTGTGTATATCAGTGTGTGTATCTGAGTGTGTATCTGAGTGTGTATATCAGTGTGTGTATCTCAGTGTGTATCTCAGTGTGTGTATCTGAGTGTGTGTATCTCAGTGTGTGTATCTGAGTGTGTGTATCTCAGTGTGTGTATCTCAGTGTGTGTATCTCAGTGTGTATCTCAGTGTGTGTATCTCAGTGTGTATCTGAGTGTGTGTATCTCAGAGTGTGTATCTCAGTGTGTATCTCAGTGTGTGTATCTCAGTGTGTATCTCAGTGTGTGTATCTCAGTGTGTATCTGAGTGTGTGTATCTCAGTGTGTGTATCTCAGTGTGTATCTCAGTGTGTGTATCTCAGTGTGTGTATCTCTGTGTGTATCTCAGTGTGTGTATCTCAGTGTGTGTATCTCAGTGTGTATCTGAGTGTGTGTATCTCAGTGTGTGTATCTCAGTGTGTGTAGGGCTTGTAGAGGAGGAGATGTGAAGATCAGTGTGTGAGTTGACTCTCTCAGGTCCTCAGCGAAGCTCTGCGTGATTCACGCTTTAATCAGTCGTTAGAGATCATTAAAGTCTCTGCCTTCATAACGACTCTGTTAACGCTCAGCTCGTTTACAGTTCATTAGTAATTTCCACACTGAAGCAGCTAACGCTAGCTAACTCTGCTACCTGACTCGGGATAGACTTTCTCTCTCCTTATCTAGAGAGTAAAAGGCACACAGTGCCACCTAGTGTTCCGATGTGGCAACTTAGGCTCTTAATGCTGAAACTGGATTGAGGGGCAGAACGGCATTTTTAATAAAATTGAACATTTTTTTATTTTGATAATTATTGTTGTTGTTTTATTACCAGGTCTAGATTAACCCTCTCTCTTCCTCTCCTCCTCTCTCTCTCGCTGGCAGGGGGGTTAGGTCCAGACCTCGGCCCCCCTCCCTCTGTGGACGAGGCTGCCAACACGTTGATGACTCGGCTGGGCTTCCTGCTTGGAGACAAAGTGAACGAGGGGCCTCAGGGGCCACAGTACAGCATGGAGGAGTCCGACGATACGCAGGTAGGCTGCTCAACCACCCACCCCCCACCCCCAAACGAATAGGTTGATACACAGGACACAGAGCCAACATGGAGCCCCAAAGGACCCTCAGTCGCTCTGACCGACTCCAGGAGTCAACGGGCCGAAAAAGAGCCAGTGTGGAGGAACAGAGCCGAGTCCTTCACACTGAATGAGCTGAGCAGAGCCAGAACCACCTCTGCCTCTCTCTCTCTCTCTCTCTCTCTCTCCTCTTGCTCATTTTCTCTCTCTCCCTCTCTCTCCCTTTTTTTCTCTCTCTGTCTCTCACTCACCTTCTCACTCTTTCTCCCTCTCTCTCGCTGTCACTCTCTTTTTAGCTGAATGGAGCTGAACGGCTAAAAATGTTACTGAAATATATTTTGAGCCATTCACGCAGGAATGTCCTTTAAAGGGGAACTCCACCAATTATCCAAAAAATTCTTACATAATTAAATGGTTAAGATGTAAACAGAGTGGTTCAGAGTGGTTCAGAGTGGTTTGGTGTGAAACGCTCTGTTCTAGAGAAACTTACCGAGTCAGAATTGTTCACAGTGGTGGTGATAGGAACCAGACGTCCACCTCTAAAAGCTCCCTCACAGAATGTTACTACATGAAATGGTTATGAATTCACTGTTTATGAATAAATGTTTATGAATAAACTAAGGCTTTTGGCCTAAAATGCATTTTTAAAGAGAGTCATTATATGTCAAAAAAGTCCCTAAAAATCAGGTTTTCCACTATTTTCCATCATCAACATTCCATATAAACTCAGAAGACTCATGTAGGTTCACTGGTGATTCTGGATAGTAAATAAAATGTCTATATCTGTGTTGTAGTCATGGCGACCCCTGGTTCCTATCACCACCACTGTAAAGACATCTGAACCATTTCACACCAATCCACTCTGAATCTCTCTGATTACATCATAACCACTGAAATATGGAGGAATTTTTATTTATTTTAGTGATTTGTTAATTTTGGTAAGTAGAAGAATGTATTACATAAACTAACCAATGAATACAGAAAGCAAAGCTTTACAGCTGCTGAGTGCTGATTGGCTGGTGAGGTCTGATTCAGTTCTATTGGCACAGTGCATTATGGGTATCCTGCTCCCACTGAGGAATATTGATAGGCCTTACCTGCCGTTTCCTGTGAAACCTCAACAGAGCATCGCGTTTGTGTTTGTGTGGGAAACGTCTGAATTCCTAAAATAACGTTCATGTTATTGTGATGATGTCACAGTTGCACTGCCACCACTGTGGTGGGCAGCTTAGTTTGGCAGCGCAGTGGTGGCTTGTTATGAGATAACAGAGCAAACCCACCCAACATGGTTCTGAATAGAACCAGGTTCTTTTTAAGGAACCCTTGAGGAACCATCTTTTTTCTTCAAAAGTAAAGAAAATGGTTCTATATAGAACCCTGAACACTCAAAAAACCCTTTGCATGAATAAACAGGTCTCTGCATGGTGAACGTGTTCTTCAGATTGATGGAGAACCTGCTGTAGATGATTCTATATGGAACCTTTTTGAAAAAGGTTCTGTATTGAACCATTTTCTTTACCCTTAAAGAACCATCTTTTTTAAGTGTGCACCAGAATGGGGTCCTTAATGACGTAATCCAACGCTGTGAGTAAGTCAGGAAATCGATGACGCTGACTTGGTGAAAGAATGAGCTGGCTGAATGTCGTCCCTGTGGTTGGTGCTGAAACGCTGCCCGAACAGGATAAAGAACCGTGTTCCTGTCCCTCTCGGCGTCTCTGCTCGTCCCTTGGCTCTCCGTGGGCTCTGAACTTAAGCGGTGTTGAGTGTTTTAAAGCTCCGCAGCGCTGCTTAGCCGTCTCACTGCTAATCCCGTGCATGGGCAGATTAGGTGAGCCAGCGCGGCCGGCCTGACCCAAGCCAACACCAGCTGAGCCTGTAGCTGGGTGCCACGGCGGCAGGGTGCCACGGCAACCCTGTCTCCTGGCAACTGGCAGATGGGGAGGAGTGCGTGCTGAGGGAGGGGGCGGGCCCAAGAGAGGGCTTCCTCCTGCCGTGTGGATTTCCTGCGCTGGCGGAGATTAATTAGGCTAACATACACACATGTACCCACCTACTCGTTTTCATACAGTGTCAGGACATGGGGTCATAGGTGCATTTTATATATATATATATATATATATATATATATATATATATATATATATATATACATTCACACATATATATATATATTATAATTGGTAGTGGAAATCTGCAGACACACCTCCAAAGTTCAGTCTTAGAAGCTGGTTGATCATTTTCTGAAATAATCAAACACATTCAGTGGTGTTGAGGTCTGGACTCTGGGGTGGTCAGTCCATCGTTCAGCTTCTTTGTTTGATGTGTCCGTCTCTTTTTCTCAGTGAGGTTCTTCTTGATCAGCTACACATCCTTTCAGACCCACAGCGCTGAGTCGTCTTCTCACAGTGGAAGGATGGACAGAAACACCTGTGGATGTTTTCAGATCTGATCAGCTTGATTTTCTCCTCTCTCTCAGAGATGAAAGCTTTAAGTGCTGCTTATCTGATGGGGGCAGTTTTGAGGTTTGGTGTCTACCTGCTCTTCCAGGTGGTTGTTAGGAGCCTCATTTTCTCTGTAGCTTTTAATCCATTTTCAGCTCTAATTTTGGAAACTCCTGTGTTTTCCATTGACTTCCTTCTTCCTTATGCAAGTGGATTATCTTGTATCTCTTCTCCTCAGAAAGATCAGAACCTTGTATATACAAAAATTTAAAACATTTTCTTTTCATCTATTCATCATGAAATAATAGTAATAATATGTCCCATATGTATTATATATTTGTAATTATCTGTATGTAAGAAGAATTTAAGTCTTAGTCTTAACTTTGATGTGATTTTTCGCTTTTAGTTTTAAAAACGGGAACATAAACATTTTAATATGCACTTTGTAAAGTCAGAATTGTTGTGTTGGTTCTTTAGGTTAGTTTTTCTTTGGTTTTGCTACAATGTCAGGTACTGAAAATGTACAAAAACAAGCAAACAAACACACACACACACCCCGCCCCACCCCATGCTAAGTCTACGTATATGTGTGTGTGTGTGTATGGGCAGGGTGTGGGTGTGAGTGGTAGGATGAGTCCGTGCTCCACGCTGACCAGCAGCACAGCGTCTCCTCCGGGCTGCAGCCCCTGTTCCACGCTGCCCCCCGCGGCTCCTGGACAGCCCCTCACCAGCCCCACCTCCACACTGGAGAGCAGAGACAGCGGCATCATCGGTGAGTACCACACACTCTCACACACACTCTCATACACACACACACACTCAGTCTGTAAAGACGTGTGTTTTCAGTAGATCAGCTGCTGCACTCTCATCAGGAGAGGCTGATTAATTAGCTGATTAGCTGCAGCAGGAAAAACACCAAAACATGCAGGACCGCAGTTCCACACGTCCTGCCTCCTGTTGCTTTTCATTTCAGCTCATATTAACAGGTCAGAGCGTCCACACAGGCTGCATGTGGCTGAGGTGACCGCTGTTATTTCAGCAGACTGCTGTAGTTTTCCACAGTCGTTAGATTTCGCATCATATTATGCCAAAAAAGTGGAATGTTAGGTGCGTGTGATGGCAAATAAATGTAAATAAAAGAAAGCGTCCGTTCTCTGAGATATCATGAAGATCTAACTTCTAACTTGGTGCTGTAACATGTTCAGAGGCAGCATGTTTGTATGTTAGCTGTGTACACTGTTAGAAATAAAGGTTCTGTTCAGGTATATTTTACGTTCATCAAGGTACAAACAGTGTAAATGTTCCCTCAAAGCTCCAACAGTGGTTTTAAGGTCTGATTGTGAACCTTAAATAAGTTTTTCCAGGTGAAAAGTTTGTATTTGTACCTTTTCATAACCGAATGTTTTAAACAGAACAGTAAAATAAAAGCCTGGAGACGAGACGGGGTGTGTGGAGTCAGTACAGCTTAGAACATATCATTCAGTGGATTATGGTTCAGTTATGTTCCCTGACTAAAGGTACTGAGATGGAGCCTTGAGGGTTCCACCCCAGTGACGAGAGGGAACTGACCCAGAGACAGTTCAGTACCTTTATTTCTGAGAGTGTAGCTGTTTCTTAGCTAACGTAGCTACGAGATACAAATCTATACATACATAACAGCTGCATGCAGTGAGCAATAAAAAGGCAATTAAATCATTAGTCTAAATTATTTATATGACTATTAATCATCAGCTCATTATCATCAATAATGACAACCCTATTGTGACACACTGCTGTGCTAAGAATGGCCCACCTCCCAAGTAATATCTCTTCTGCGGTGGTCCCTTTCCAGTGAGTGACATGATAGAGGAGGGCTGATGAGTAGATGGTCTGCTGTATGGAACTGTACAGTGGGCTTATACAGCAGGTGTTTCCAATAAAATGGCCAGTGTAGGTGTAGGTGAAACGTAGGTGGGCCTAATGATGAGGTAATTCAGTCTAAATCCTTCTATAAGCATCCTTTCCTTTGTTTTTAACCCCTCCCCCTTCCTCCTCGCCCCTCAGCCACTCTGACCAGTTACTCGGAGCCTGCGGACCGTAAACATGGCGAGGGCTCGCGGGCCAGCAGTCTGAAGCTGTGGCACTCTCACCGCGCCACGCTGGACTCCAGCCTGTATCGCGTGGACGAGAACATGGCCGCCTCCACGCACAGCCTCAACAAGATCCCTGAGCCTGGCTCCACCCACCACTCTTCTCACCCCACCCCCCTCTACCTCATGCCCCGCCCTAACTCTGTGGCAGGTAAGTCATGCCCTGCCCCTGCCGTTGACCCCTTACTCTCTCTCTCTGGCATGGTGCTGTTTCCTTCTGTTTCTGGCTTATACACTGATATTTTTAACACTCAGGAGTCGCAGTGACCACAAAATCATGGTGTTGTTACCCCTTATTAACTTACAGGGCCCATATCCTACTTTTTGTTGAATCTTTTTTTTATCCCGAGGTCCACTTATAATATTTGGGCGTATTTTATTAATCATAATTTGTCCAACCTCTCTTTATGCCTTAGTGTTAAACAGGCTGTTTCTGTTACTGTGCCTTTAAGATGGTTTTATGTAAATGAGCTCTGTTCTGATTGGCTGTGCCTCAAAAAGCAAACCAGGTTGAAACACCCCTTGTAACTTCAGTGTGAGTGGACGTGAGCTGCTGTAGGCTGAATAGGCTGATTATATGTAAATGTGTTTTTGGGTGTGTAGTTAGGTGTTTGTGACATCACAAATACAGTGAATTCAGAGTGGGCTTGTTTTGCAGCATAGTTTCCATGTATGAACTGCATGGACTGGGGAATGTGGTATGTTTTGAAAGTTTGACAAAACTAAATCAGGCTCTTAAAAAACAAGGAAAAGACAATTTTATATATATATATATATATATAAATATGGGCCCTTTAATAATGTAGTTAGTTAACACTACCCTTTAAAAATGGTCATAGGGCTCTCGAGTGGCGCAACCGTCTAAGCGTTGGCCCTATCATCAGGAGATCGCGAGTTTGATCCCTGGTGATGCTACAGCCGTCCGTAGCCGGGAGTCCGAGAGAGCACAATTGGCCTCGCTCTCTCTGGGTGGGTAGGATGGCCCCTCCTTCTCCCACCATCACTCACTCAGCGCGATGCTAGTCAGCGCAGGCGTCTGTTAGCTGACGTAACAGATCTGGCGGTTGGCGCTTTCCTCCGAGCGCGTTCGGCTGTCCAGTGACGTTGCGTGAGCGGCAGCTCGAAAAGAAGCGGTGGTGCTTCACAGGTCTCGGAGGAAGCCTGTGTTAGCCTTCACCCTCCTAGCGTTGATAGCATCATGTAATTGGGGGAATCCTAACTAGCGGGTGGAATTGGAGACGACTAAATTGGGGAGAAAATCGGGTAAAAATTAAAAAAAAAAAAAATGGTCATAGATTATTTGATGAACAGCAAAGTGTTTTTTTAATTTTCTTTACAGCAGATTTGATTTGATCGTGACTCAGCCAATCGAATTTTAAAACGGTCCACTTTATTATTTTATGTTAATTATATTATCGTCTCATAGTTCATTGAAACAAGTGGAGAAATTGTGTGGAAAGTGCAGATTGTTTTCATTCCCAGGCCACATTTGTGCTTGTAAATAGAAGAGGAGATATTGTATTATGATTAGATAAACAGTTGTGTTGTCTACAGTAACAAGCATCCTTTACATTTTCATTTTAATGTCGAAACAAATGGAAAAACATCAGAATTGATGTAGTCACTTAATTGCAGCGAATTGTGTAACAATGTATTTACACTGAAATGATAATGCAATATAAACTGAGTTTAAAGCAAAATATCAAACAACTCTAGACTTTGTTCTTCGAGAACCCATTACTTTACATTTCTCACGTTTCACACTGAAATTGCTGACCAGTTTTAGCCTTCTGTGTCTTAAAGGGGAATGTCACCATTTTTCTGCATAATTCAGTGTGTGAGATGTAAACAGAGAGATTCAGAGTGGTTTGGTATGAGATGGTTCAGATGTCTTTACAGTGGTGGTGATAGGAACCAGGGGTCGCCGTGACTACAACACAAATACAGACATTTTATTTACTATCCAAAACCACCAGTGAACCTACACGAGTCTTCTGAGTTTATATGGAATGATGATGATGGAAAACAGTGGAACATCTGAAATAATAAGTTTTCTTTGGGGACTATTTTGCCTCACAGCGCCCTGCATGTATCCCTCCACCATAAATGACTCTAAACTATCATAAAACAGTGTCTCAGTCATCAGGCAGTGAATTCATAACCATTTCATGTAGTAACTTTCTGTGAGGGAGCTTTTAGAGGTGGACGTCTGGTTCCTATCACCACCACTGTGAACAATTCTGACTTGGTAAGTTTCTCTAGAACGGAGCGTTTCACACCAAACCACTCTGAATGACTCTGTTTACATCATAGCAGTTTAATTATGCAGGAATCTGTAACGCATCACTGTAACTCTGAGACGTTTTAAGCTTTGTTTCGTTCTCGCAGACTCTCAGCAGTGCGTTGTCCTCTAATAACATTATTACTGCTGCGTTTCTCCACTCACTGCTGTTCCACTTCACTTATGTTGACTCTTCTCAGGGAATCAGCCTCTCGTGGTCAGTTCCCAATACGGAGCGATGCTCCAGCTGCTGAGTTCAGATGTTTACTCTGTTTCTGTAGCTACCGCCAGCTGGAACACTGCAGCTCCTCCATCTCCTCATGCTGTTGTTTATCATGACACAGTCTTAAAAGATAGACTGGTGATCATTCATATTTACCCAGTTTCCCTTCTTACCCAAATGTACTTGAGCAAGGTCAAAAAAAAAAAAGTTACAAAAAATTGTTATTCTTCAAGTAAATTCATAAGAATTTTCTTATTTTTTTCTAAAGAATAATTTTGAAGTGTTGAAATAAGTGTTATTCTTGAAAACACTACATTCTTAAATGTTTTCTTAAGCGTACGATCGTCTCACTCGTCTCAGGCTGTGAGAGTTGACAAAATTTGATCTAAATCGGTTTTCAATCTCAGACTCTGCTAGTCCTGCTCATCCTCGTCTCCTGCTCTCTGCCGTCACGCCGCATTTATCGTATTTTCTAAGGAGGATTTTTTTCTCTGTTGGCTGTTTCTTCCTCCATTACCTCTGTTTTTTGTTTGCTAAATGTTTTAAAACACTTGGTTTGATGTTTTTCCTCCATTTTGCCCCTCAGAGGGGATTAAACTAATAACGGAAAAACCGATTAAAACATTTAAAATAATATCTCATGCTGTTTATGGTAAGCTGTAAATGCACCACAGCCTACATGAGAAAACAATGGAGATTTTCTTAAGACATTCTTAATGCAATAATTAAGATTTTCTCAAGAATTAAGAATTTGAGAATTGCATTTAAGAACATTTATATGAACTTCTTTAGCTACGTTCACATTACCAGGCTGAAGTGGCACAAATCCGATTTTTCGCCCTAATGTGACTCAGATCTGATCTTTTCAGAGCTGTGTGGACACAAATCTGATCTTTTCAAATCCAACCTGAGCCACTTTCATATGTGGCCCTAGATCGGATACGTATCCGTTTCGTGGCCGTGCGGCCTTAATGTGACGCTCAGATCTGAATTCAGGTGCTTTTCTCCACTGCGCGTGACCATCATTCAGCGTTACCATGGCAGCAGCGCCGAACAGAAGTTAAAGCCTGTAAACGGTGGAAAAGAAACACATCTCACCTTTTTCTCCTTCGTCTCGCTCTAATAATGAAGCTGAGAGCTGATCAGAGTTAATTATCTTCTCAGCGAAGCTCGTTCTGCTCGTTAGTTTGTGCTGATGATGAACGTGATTCATTCACGTGACGTTACTGAGTAGGATGAGCTCATGAGGGTCATTCCAGGACGCCGGTTCATCACATTAATGACAGATTTGAGTCACTTACCTAAACGAGTGGGAACCATCCTGTCAGAGAGATCGGATTTGAGCAGTAAGGCTTGTTATGTGAACGTGGCCTTAATGTTTGTCCCAATAACCTAAGTTTTTTCTTAAGAAAGTTTTCGTGAATCTGGCCCCATTCCTACCCGGCGTTCCCGCTTTGTAGCGCTTTCCCCTTATTAGATGTCACTTCAGTGCTGTAGCTGCCTTTGTCCTGTCCCAACTTGGACGAGCTGCAGCCTTTCTGACGGAGCTTTGAACCTCCCAAGCAGTGCCAGGTTGTTGTGCAGCGGACTCCTTCTGTGCTCGCTGACGACGTCCTTCACTTTTAAAATGAGTTTCTATACGTTGCTGCGTTTGCTCCGTACGTTACTGTGAGATTCAGTGCTGTGAGCTGTAGGCTTTGCTGTTAGACCTGAATGATATCCGTCCAAAATCCTCCACGTCTCTTGTCCATATCGGCAGATCTGTTCTGCTAACTCATGTGAAGCTAATGCTAGCTGTGTGGGGGGATTAAGCTAAACCGTAATTGACTCCCTTCCACGGTTGTTTTTACTGGCTGGACTGTGAAGATTTGCAGTGGCGTGTTGGGCTAATGGTTGGCGGGTGGAACGGTGTGGAAACTAGACATTAAAAATCCAGTATAGATGACAAGCTTTGTTTCGTCAACAGCAAATGAACTCAGCTGATAGCAGCACGCCGTTCTGTCTAATGGGCTCACATCAGGCAGTTTCCACTGAGATGTGGGAACGGCGTGCTCCGCTAGAAGACCCTTGTAATAAATGTGAGTGCGGTTTGAAAAGGCTGCCCTGCAGAATGAATAAATAAGAATGCAGGACAAATAACACAAACACAAATCTAAGGGGGGCTCAGTGCTCCATCCAGCGGTGCTACCAGGACACGGTGCTGCATTTAACAGAGGAGCAGCAGAAACAGTGCTAAAGAGCAGTTAGTGTGCAGCAGAAGATAAACTATACACACTTTACAGAAAGCTCATCCACAATATACCGCGACTTTACAACTAGATATCAGCCTATATGTCACATAAAAAAAATCATAAATCAGCTATATAAAAACTGTACATCAGCCTATATTGAATACAAAAACCATCATATATCAGCCTATATCACATACAATAACCATATATCAATCTATATTATAACCATATTTCAGTCTGTATCACATAGAAAACCATGTAGCAGCCTATATCACATACAATAACCATATATGAGTATATATCATAAAAATAACCATATATCGCTCATTATCACACACAGTAACCATGTATCAGCCAATATCACGGAAAATCTAACTATATATCGCTCTTTATCACGTGCAATAACCATGTTTCAG